GTCTATAAGGTGCCACAGGACTCCTCGTCGCTTTTGCAGATTCAGACTAACACGGCTACCCCTCTGAATATGATTGTAGATGATCATGTCAACTTCGTGTTTCAGTAGGCTGGTATAAGTTTACACCATGTGTGAGACCCCAGGTTCCCTCTCCCCATTCCTGTCCCTTATATGGGAGACCCCCCCAATCATGTTACAGGATATGGGGGGTGGTTCTCTCAATGGAGCAGGGTTTCTCTTCCCCTCACTCTGACCAGGGCACCCCCCTAGGCGGGGATGATCCCAGACTGGAAATCTCTTTTGCCTGGACAGGACACCCCCTCCACGGGGCAGGGTCTGGCTGTAAGTGAGGGTCTGTTACAAGCAGTTGCAGGATGGGCCAGTGGCCATCTCTGTGTCTTCCCCTTTGCGGGGGCTGGAGCCCAGCACCTCCCCCTGGTACCTGAGGAAGGGAATGCTGGAGTTTGGGGTAGGGAGCTGGCAAAGTTTGGCTCTGTGGTTGACTGTACTGCACGGCTGGGCAGCTCCCAGCCAGGGCAGTGAGCAGGTGGGCAGGTGTCGGGCAGTGCAGGGTCCTGAGGTGTGGGGCCCAAGACAAAACTGCCTTCCTTGCCTTGCTCTAGGGCTGGGCATGACTAGGAGCTCAATCATTATAAGACAGGTTTTCACTCTCATGGTTCTTCTCTGAATTTTGTTCCATTAATAAACATTCTTCCTGGTTTGTGGACATCAGAATTGGATTTAGTAGTGGTCACATCTGTGCCAACAGGCAGAGATAAAATAACCTCAAGATTTTGCTGTTTATGCATCTAAGGATCACATTAGCTCCTTTTGGCCATAGTGTCACATAGGGGGGTCATATTCAGCTGATTATCTGCCACAACTTTTTTTTGAAAGGCACTGCTTCCCAGAATAGAGTCCGCCATCCTGTAAGTATGGCCTACATACATTTAGATGTATTTGTATGAAAATGCATATTGTTAGCTTGCACCCATCTTACCAGGCGATCCTTATTGCTCTGAAATAATGATCTGTCTTCATTATTTACTACTCCTCCCAATTTTTGTGTCATGTACACACTTAATCTGTGCTGATTTGGGTTTTTCCCTCATAAAAATGTTAAATAGCATAGAGCCAAGAGCTGATCCCTGCAGGACCCCACTAGAAAAGACCCACTTGATGATGTTTCCCCATTTACATTTTGTGACCTACTATATTTTTATCCATTTAACGTTTGCCATGTTAATTTTATATCTTTCTAGTTTTTTAAGCTAAATGTCATGCTGGACTCAGTTGGTACCATTCAGAAATCTAATTACATGACATGAGCACTGTTACCTCTATTGATCACACTTGTAATCTCATACAAATATCAAGTGTGTGTGACAGGACCTATATTTCACAAACCCTACTTGTAGTAAAGGGGAAGAAGATGGAAAGTTTACCTATACAGAACAGGGGAGGAACAGGCAGGGGAGACCTGTGGGAAAGCCAAAAGGGTTGCTTGTCCCTCTCTTATAGCCTGGGTGGAAGAAGGACCCACCAGCATGCAAGAGTCAGAGCTTGAGTGTGGAATATGCTGAGTTGTGTGCTGTAAACAACTTCCACCTTTAGCTGGGAGTTTGTTTATAAACAAAGGCAAGGTGATTAAAAGGCTTGTCATTAAATTAAAGATCATTAGATGCTCTTGAAAATATTCCCAGGCATCCAGTTACAACAGTGTTTCCCAAACTAAGGGCCGTGACCCAGTACCAAGCCGTAGCATGGTTGCCAGGGTGTTCTGCGCTCCCGGAGTGCCCATGTGGCGCCGGGTCCCCCAAGCCCTCGGCCAGCCTGGGCGGAGTCTGCAGCCAGATGTTCCGGCTCCCGGCAGAGTCCTAGCTAGGGGCTGTGGGGGGAGAAAGAGCGGAGAGCTGGCCACCAGAAGCAGCACTGGACGGGGAAATCGGGGCGGGGCAGGCCGGAGAGATTGGGGGGCCAGTGGAAGCAGGGCTGCTGGAGGTCATGAGGTCGGGGGTAGGGAGCTGGCCGGGGAAGATGGGGGAGAGTGGGAAGAAGCAGCTGCCGGAAGCAGGGCTGGACATGGGCAGCGGGGCTGGCCAAGGGAGATTGGAAGGAGAAGTGGGGGGAGAACTGGCTGTCCAGGAGGGGGTTGGGGGAAGTGGGGCTGGCCAGAGGCGCAGCGGGGGGAGCAGGAGGGGGGAGCAGGACTGACCCGACCATATGTAGATCTTGGGGTGCTGCCCCTTCTCCCCCCGAAAGCACTAGTGAGTCTGGCCTGGGGATTCTATTGTTCTGCCCCCCCACACACACACACACCCCTCGAGTAGTTGCGAACTGGCTGGCTGGTAGACACACTCAGGCAGCCTGATTACATTTACCAGCCAGGCAGTTCGAAACTACAAACTGAATACATCTAGTAATAATATAACTTACCTAATGAGAAAATACCAGACAATGTTATATGTCTGGTATTTTCTCAGTTTGTTTTTTATGTGTTTATATTTTTGGGCTGCAAAAAACAGTACTGAAATAAAAGGGTTCCAACTAAAGTAAAAATTTTGGGAAACCCTGGTCTAACCAGCTTTCTGTCTGTCTTACAGTCCATTTATCCAATCCATATTCCTTAACTTGCTGGCAAGAATATTGTGGGTGACCATATCAAAAGCTTTGCTAAACCTGGACCTGGGGGTTTTGGGAGGACCAAAAACAACGTATTTGAATATTCATCATTTGCTTAATGAATATACAAATATGCAAATGAACATTACCGGTCCTCCAAAAGTTTGTGAATGGATTTACTGGTCCCCGTGTCAAAAAGTGTGGGAACCCCTGAGTTCCAAGATAAGGAAACAAAGAGTAGGAATAAAATGATCTATTTTAAGGCTGGAGAGAAGTAAATGAGTTGTCCCTCAGGGTCTGTACTGGTTTGGGATCCTGCTATTCCCAAATGATCTGCAAAAAGGGGTAAACAGTGAGGTGGTAAAGTGTACAGATGATATGAAATTACTCAAGATAGGTAAGTCCAAAACCGACTGCAAAGAGTTAAAAAGGGATCTCACAAAACTGGGTGACTTGGCAACAAAATGGCAGATGAAATTCAGTGTTAAATGCCAAGTAATGCAAATGGTAAAATATGATCCCAACAATACATACAAAACAATGGTGCCTAAATTAGCTACTACACATTAGCTGTTACTCATCAAGAAAGAGATGTTGGAATCATTTTCAGTTCTCTGGAAAGATAGTGCTTCCAGATACAAATATATAAGAATTCTTCTCATTGTGCCTGTATTATCCTGAATTCATTCTCAAGCTTCATAATAGGGATGTTAAAAAGTGGATAATTGTGTAACCATGTAACGCTCAGCAGTTACACAATTACATGCAGCCACAGGACGGGGTGGCTGCCAGCTCCCTGGGATCTGTTGTGTGCCGGAAGCCGGCTTTTAAGACAGCTCCCAGCACACACCATCTCCTGCCTGCTGCTCTGCTCTCAGGGAGCCGCCTGCACTTCTGGCTGCTGGATCATTTATTCCCAGAGCCGGGTGGGTCAGGAGCCTGCATATTAACAGTAACGGATAAGCCCAGGCTTATTGGTTGTCCATTTAAACAGTGATACTTTTACATCCCTACTTCATAATCTCTAGTCATCAATGGGAGTGATGCCACTGAATAATGTAGCTATCTTTAATGTGCAGGTCATAGGAAGGGTCACGGCCCTCCCTTTAGCTGCTGCCCCCTTTGTTAGAATTGGGCCATGTAAGCATCAGGGAAAAGAACATTGCCCTTCCAGCTAACCGGAAGGGGATGGGGTTATTTATATCCTAGGCAGTAATGTAGAAACTCTCTGTTACTATGAATGGGCTGGCAGCAACCACCATCTCATCCTTAAGGCACATCTACACTCACCGCACTGGAAATCAACATTCGATTTAGCGGGTTTGATTTAGACCCATAAATTGAACACTGAGGGCAGCTCCAGCAAGCACCTATACTCCTCGTAATTGCAAGGAGGGAAGCTGAGGGGAGCATTTGCTCCTGTCAGCCTCCTGCTGTGTGGTCACCGTCACACTCAGTTTAAGGTAAGCTGACTCTAGCTATGTGTTCCACACTGCTGGAGTTGCATACCCTAAGCCAACCTTCCAGGTCTGCTGTAGACTTGGCCTTAGTAGCTAAGAAAGCACCCTTCATGATCCACTGTAAGCATTGTTAGTTACCTTTTCTCCTTGGGAGCTAAGAAGGAATTTTTCTCTCCACTGCATGATTGGATGATGCAGGATGGGGTTCTTTTCCACTGTGTTAAGGTTCTAATATCAATATTTAGTAAGCACCATTTTGGCAGGTGTCTGGTATGAAAAGATATGGTTATTGGGTAAAAAGATTTGAAGGAAAACATCCCTTAGGAAAGCTGTTGTTCAGAGGGCAGGGGGTGCCTTTATTTGGTACAGCAAGATGTCAACCCTCTCTTCCTTCTTTAGCCTCTTTCAGCCCTCTTACGAGGGAAGGCAGTGGGGTCCCAGCAATGGAATGAATGGAATTAAATTGGGATGGGATTATATGGAAACAAGGAAATGATTTAACAAGGAATTATATAGGAAGATACAGCTGAAAGAGAACCTACTGCAGAAGATTATACAACAGAAGATACAGCTATTTGGAAGTATCTGAAGAATAAACGATGAGCAAAAAGTTAAGACCCCGGTATTCGACATAATGGATGGTCGGAATAGGAGAGACAGACTCCAAAGAGAATGGGCAGATGATATAGTAGATTGGTGCGGAGCTAGTCTACAGAAACTAAGGCACTCTGCGCTGGACAGGGAAAGATGGAAGGAAATAGTGAGGGAGGCACTGAACACCAACGGGCGCTGAGCCCATGGTTGTTGATGATGATGATGAGTGGGGTCTCAGCAATGGGATGATTGGAACTAAGTTGGGGTTGGATTATATGGAAGCAAGGAAATTATGATGACCTACACTGTACAATTTATTTCCAGGTACTCCCAGATATTTTAAGTGAATAAAGTTGCAGCCTAATTGAACTACATCCATTGGTTCCTGAAGTTTTCCTGGAGTGGACAAAGTGCACGACCCTGATTTTTGCAGGTATTCAACCAGTTCTAGTCTTTGCATAAAATCACAGAGGTTACTACTCTAAAACAGACCAATGATCAATATATTCTGGCATCCATCCTCTTTCACTGAAGTGCAAAACTCCCCTAATGTACCTAATTGCACAATACTACTTTATTTAGTGCAGCACTATTGTTGACTGAATGGAAGTTTGCTAGAACAAAAAGTGGTAATTTGTCTTAATTAGCAATGTAGATCAATCTTGTGTAAAATCCCATGTTTTCAAACAGAAAGTGTGATTAAAACCTGAAAGGCCATTATTAATCAAATCATCTCAATACTATGTTTGTATATTATTTGAACATTGTGTATAATGTATAAATGCTGGCAAATCTATTATATTGATAGAAACAGAAGAAAGAAAATGCTTCCATGTGGTAATAATTCTTAAATCTGTTATGTGCTAGCTCAAAGAGATCATGCATCAGAGCTTTCATTATGATGGATTTTAGCAAATGCTACATACTATTACAGCCATCTTATTACGTAGCAGTTTTACTTGCATCATCTCTCTAATTACTACATAAAATTATGGTTCTTAGACAGCTGTTCACAACAGGATCTTCTCTGAAAAAAAATTTTTTTTCCTTCAAAATGTTATAATAAATAGGTTTCCTCCTTCTTCTTTTGTAATTTAACTTCCAATTTTGTGCTAGTAATATTATCCTAACCCTGGTACAGCAACTTACTTCTTTGCAAGAGCACAGAAGGAGAATTCCTTTTTTCCCCCTTGAATGTGAATGTTCCTGGTGTAGCTTAAAAACTTCCATAAATCAATAAAGTAATTGCTGCATAATGACCTATTGTTAGTGAGCGTGCCCAGAATGATGTCATTGGGGGGTAATGGAGCTACTGAATCAAAAAAAATGGCAGCTGTTTCCAATTTATTTGAGAGTCAGTTGGACAGAAAATTAAATAAACACATAGACAAGCAGGACAAGGGCAAGTCCTTGCATTATTCTTATGATAGTTTTAATTCAATCGCAGAACTCAGCAGGCAGCTGATATTATGGCCCAGAGTTTCATTAATTGCCTGTCTCCTATCTCAGTCAGACTACACATGCTCATTTCATCATTTTAAGCTTTTGTGACTTGGATTTAAAAAAGACCCAATGAAACAAAGATGAAACTCTTTTATTCTCCTCCATCCTCCTTCAACCTTCTCCCCCTTCCCCCATTGCAGCATAGCAGGCCATCAAGGAGACATATTAATAAAGAGGAATTTTCATTTCTTCTTCCATCTGGCTCCATGGTGCTTTACCCTCCTTTCCACAGGATACACAGCAGAATTTTATTTTATTTAATCACTCACATGTCTTTTGGGAAGCCCCCTAGAGTTTCATATTCACTAGGGAGGAGAAAAAAAGTGCCACCCAGCTCCCTACTCTTTCTGTTGTGACTAGAAGCTTTGATGTGCTCTTTTGAAGTTACTGGCTTGAGGCTGCATTAGAGAAGCATCAAATGTAGCCTTAGCAGTGAGCGTGGAAGCTGGTAACCTGTAGTGGTTGCATACTGAGCTGCATGAGCACTTACTGTTTACAAGGTAGCAAATGCTAGGGACCATAATAGCAAGTCCCACATTGTGGCAGATTCACTTGTTTTTTGCAGAACACTATCCTCAATCACCTACTGGTAATTTATTCAGAATGCATCAGTGGGCATAATGTTTTTCACTCCTTAAAGCTCCCATTGCACCCTTATTTAGGCACTCACACATGTACCTCTGAAACAGCAGATACAGCCAAACCCAGCGTAACTTGGGGAAGGTGTGGATCTGGATCTGTACTCAACATTTAAGGTCAATCTGAGTAAAATGTATCTGAATTAAAACACTGGATCTACATCTCTTTTAAACCACAAAGAAGATTGGATCCAAATCTGAACTTCATAGCTGGGGCTCACCTGTGCTTCATCATTTAAATTATGGGTGAGAATTAAGAGATTTGTTCTTTGTTTTTCAGAGTCCTCATATTGCCGTCTCTTCACATCTGTGTAACTTAGCGTGTGTTTTTAAGGTTTCTGGGTTTTGCTTTACAGAACTACAGTTGATTGTTATTATCTGCATTGAATGAAATATCCAGGATTGTCTTGCATTTGTCTCCAAGCTGGGGGAATGCCTTTCCATGTTACCATTACACCTCTTTTAAGACAAAACTTAAACTCTTCCTTTTCTCTGACTATTTTAATTCTGTTCTATGTTACACAATTTGATTGTACAGCACCCTTTGTTACATGTCAAAGGTGACTTATAAATCAATAAATAATAGTAATAATTAAAATAGTCTTATGCAACAGCGATCTAGGTGGAAAAACTGGGTTATTCCATTAACCTTTTACCTCTGGAGACTAGAATTTCAAATTTGTATTAGGTCACAAGTGCAAATGAGTTGGTCTCTGGTGGACTTTTGTCCACATCACTAACGGCTGCACTGCTTGTCACAGTTCACCATGACTGACAGCACAGGGCTAGAAGAATAATAGATCTTTTTTGCAAGTTGTAGATTAAGATGCATTGGCAGAGCCAACATCTTCTCTCAGGGTGCGTCTAGACAGCGGCACTATTTTGGGATACTTCCGGTATCCTGAGATAGGGTATGTCTACACTACCCCCCTAGTTCGAACTAGGGGGGTAATGTATGCATACCAAACTTGCTAATGAAGCCCGTGATTTGAATTTCCCGGGCTTCATTAGCATAAAGCCGGCTCCGCCATTTTTAAAAGCCGGCTTGTTTGAACCCCGTGCCACGCGGCTACACGCAGCACGGGCTAGATAGTTCGAACTACGTAATTATTCCGAACTATCTGTACGCCTCGTGGCTACGCAATTTGCACAGCTCAAGTTGTGTAGGTTATTTCGAGGTAAGAGTGCAGTGTAGATGCACCCTTACTGTGCCTGGATCTGGCCAGAGCAACCTGTGAAAACAAACCATTGCCTCTCATCATTATGTGAATGCCACTAATATTTTGCTTTACAAAATTTTACTTGCACAATTTGTGCCAGTAGCAAGATGTTTTTATTCACAACACTATTACAAGAAACTTATGAGAAAGAAGGGTAAGATGTAATTTGATCATGATGTATACATACACATGTGAATGAGCACTCTAGTAGGTAAAGATCAGATTCAAGGTCTAATTACAAGATCCAGTGAGTAGACCTTGAAGTGATTAAACTTGGTATTCCTCTTCTCTCATTTCTTCCAGCTTCCTGCCTGTCTCCCCTCCCCATATGTTTGGTGGAAATTATTTCAGATGCCTATATTTTGGTCAATCAGACATCCTCAGCACAAAGATAATAAATAAAAATAAGAACATATGAATGGCCATACTGAGTCAGACTAAAGGTCCATCTAGCCCAGTTTCCTGTCTTTTAACAGTGGCCAATGCCCAATACCACAGAGGGAATGAACAGAACAGGCAATCATCAAGTGATCTCTCTCCTGTCATCCATTTTCAGCCCCTGACAAACAGAGGCTGGGGACACCATTCTTACCCATCCTGGCTAATAAGTATGGATGGACCTAACCTCCATGAATGTATCTCATTCTTTTTTGAATCCTGTTAAAGTCCTGGTCTTCATATCATCAAAATAAAAATTACAACTTAACACTAAACATCAGCAGGATGAAGTATTAACGTCTAATATGGTTTGTTGTGAATTATACCAACAAGCTATTACTGCTTTGTGTGCCTTAGCTCCTGTCCCATGATTAGGATCCCTTTATTTGTGGGACTGCCTCCATCATCTACAAGCTGGCCAGCATTTGAACGCTTACACTGAGGTGTTTGCCTCAAAAATACTCAGCATTTTTAAGTAACTTGTGTGGTTTGTGAATTAACCTGAACGGAATGGGGAACTATTCAGTGATTTTTACAGTATTCTGTTCGTACAACCAGCCTTTTTTTTTACAGCTTTCCATTTTTGGTTTTCCTACCCCCTAATAATAGCATCCTTTAACTCCTTGAAAGAGAGTAACAAAGAGGATGGAGAGAGGCTGTTCTCCGTAGTGACAGAGGGCAGAATGAGGAGCAATGATCTCAAGTTGCAGTGGGGGGAGCCAAAGGTTGGATATTAGGGGAAACTATTTCACTAGGAAGGTGGTGAAGCCCTGGAATGGGTTACTTAGGGAGGTGGTGGAATCTCCATCCCTAAAGGTTTTTAAGTCCGGGGTTGACAAAGCCCTGGCGGAGATGTTTTAGTTGGGGTTGGTCCTGTTTTGGGTAGGGGGCTGGACTCGATGACCTCCTGAGGTCTCTTCCAGCTCTATGATTCTATGAATGTTGCTTTCCAGTTTTGTGTGTTCACTGACTCCTTAGGATTATACATTGCTCCCAATCATGCAAATGTATTGTTCTTGGCTTCCCAATAAAATTTCCCAGAAGTAAAGACTACAGGCAAGGGGCAGAAAACTATTTTCCTATGTGGAGACAGCACACACTCCAAAAACTGGTGCCAGATTCCTCCTTATAAAGAAAAGCCTCCAGAAAACCAAAGTCTCCCATTTAAAGCTTAAGGCTATGAACATGCCAATTTTACCAGGAGGCAAATGGATTGATTTGCTGTGAAGGAATGGATAAAAACCAAGCAAATTTCACAGCAGATATTTTCTATGATTGATAATGTTAGCTTCAGTTAGAATGCCTCACTTTCTAGTTCTGAAATCTTTCTGGTAGAAATTGGACTAGTTCTGCATAAAGGAATGATAAACAGCAGAAACAATACTTAAACTGTAAACAAACAAGCCAGAATACTGCTTAGCTATTAACACTAAAAGACTAAAGTTTTTCCATTCCGTGAGTATTTTAAAGATTTTGAAAAAAAAAAAAAAAAAAAAAAAAACTCTTGCCCAAAAAAAGACAAAAAGTCAAATTTAAGAAATTTTCACAAGCAGAAAATCTGGAAAAATAATTACTCAGATCAGAGCAGTTGAAACATTGTATTCTCATAATTTCTAAATGTATTGACCATTTTT